CATGCCCACAAAATTTCAGCCTTCTAGCTTCCGTGGTTTCCGTGATAATAGTTTAACCCGCTCAAACTTTTACGGGGCCATACATGTTGCTACCAGTAAGTGTGAAACGTGGAATACCACTCTCGCTGAAGAAAATAGTCTATGAATGATCACTGGAGAGATGAATGTTAAGTTTCTTCATCCGATTGTAACTTGTAGCTACGTACAAGCCTTGGTCCCTTTCTAGTGTAAAATAGTAAAAAGGTGGCAAATTTTTTACTTTTGCTTGTTGTTTTATGTTTTTTGATTGGTTTTGCTTGCAGTTCCGTATTTTCGTGCTGTTCTTGATTTGTTGAGGAATAAATGAGAATCCGCGCAAACGCTGTGTAAAACGATGAATGCTGTTGTCTTTATCGACAAATATCTATATTTTTGCTGATTAACTTAATTTTTTTACTAATCTTAATAAAAAGTTATAATAAAAAGGAATGAAATAAGGAGAAAAAGGTTAGGTGGCAAGCAGCGAGTGCGCAAGGATCGAGGGTTCAGATCCTGATTAAAAAGAACCAATCCCTCTACGATTCATTGATCCAGTAAACTGATACTGACGCTTGTAAGAGAGACAAACTTGCCATCAACTTGCTTCTAAGCAACCATCCTTTAGGTACCATCAGGCTTGCTTATTTGGAAGACCTAAATGGCACTACTTCCACTGTTTTCATTAATTATCAAAATTCGACTGTGTTCCTCTCCACCAGTGGTCCAACAACGCCAAACAAACTGCATATGTTAACACTTGGACGATTTCAGGCCTCCGTCCTATTCCAGACTTCTAGCCGGAGATATTCACTGTTTGTATCTTTAAAATTTCTGAAATATTGTTAGTCTCCTCAGCAGGTGATTTTTGTTGGTTTTGCTACCAGTGGGACTTTTGTCTTCCATAGGTGATAAAATGTCAGGGGGCTTTGTTCAATCCTTTAAGTTTGTTCAGTCCTGAAAAATGCTTATTTTGAGTTTCCTGGGAAATGCTTATTTTGAATTTTAGGATGTCTTCTGCTGAAGAACCAGCAGTTCTTCTGCAGAAGAGCGATGAACCGGAGGAGAAAACCAAGGAGATTTTCGAACTGATTAGGCAAAGTAAGCTTTTTTGGTTCTTTTTTTGTGAATTTTTTGCCAACTTTTCCCAATATTCATGTGCAGTTGTTCGTATTTGACCCGACATTAGCAGCTGTTCTGGTTTGTTTTTTTCATTTTTTGCCAACTTTTGCCAATATTCATGCTTATTTCTTTATTGTTTGACTTGAAATAGCTGGAACTAGGCGTGCGGGACATCCCAGTAACACTGGCAAAATGGGGTACCACACCGATAATCTATTGGCCCTGGCATTCTTTTTATGTTTTCAATTTTCATATCACAAAATGTTATGATCTCCTGTCTTCTATGCAGATATAGTTTAATGATTAAAACAGAAGCCACTAGTATCTTTTTTTAAAAATAACTTAAAAAAAACTTCTCTTTTTTTAAAAATTTTCTTTTTCCTCCTTCCTTTCCTTTCCCTCTTCATCCAACCTCTTACTCCTTCTAATCCCGCAAACATTTCATTTCCCTTCTGTTTCTTCCTATCGTCCTCCCCTTTCTTTTCCTTATCCATTAAGCACTGCGACTGTCATACTAACGAGGTCCTGTAACGGTGTTGAGTTAAGACGTATGTGACTTAATGGACCGAAACGTCTGATCTCACTTTTGCCTTCTTTTCCCGTACCGTCCCTTCATGCTGTAATCCATCGCGCCTTCGCCATTTAGACTTCCAAGGTCAACCTGGTTGTTGCAATCGGCTTAACACGTGAACGGCTACTCTGAACTAAATCGTAAACTTTTGGTTTGGCAATGTTTCTCTTAGAAAAAAAATGAAATTCTCTCTCCTTACCTCCATCTTTGCATTTTCTCTTGTCTGCTCATTATTTTAGTTTTAAACGGTTGCATACATTTTTATCATAAAAACGGCGAGCAAGAGGCTGTACTGATGATTCCTACTCCTCTACCAGCATACTCTGCTTGGTGCGTGTTTACAGCTAAGGGATAAAACACAGACCGCTTCCCAACATACCTCCGCTACATATGATGTAATATTTGGATTGCTCGCTCTTATTCACCTGATATTTCTCGAATTTTCAATAACCGTATTTGTTTACTCCTATCTGCATACATTCTAGATGTATGTTTACAACTAAGGGATGATAAACAGACTGCTTCCAAACATATTTCCGTTGAATATGATGTAATAGTTAGAATAGTCCCTTCATGTCCACTTGATATTTATTTAAAATTTCAATAGCCATATTTGTTTACTTTCAATTTTTTTCCGTTTCCTTCCTCTCCGTCTTTTATATTTTTTTCATATTTAAATTAAACGGTTCACTTTAGTAAGCATTTTGAATCGATGGGAAAAGCATTTTAAATTTTGCGCATCTAAGCCCTCATTTTTTTTGTAATTTAATTAAATTTTAGTTTTTTTTTTCAGAAAAATCGAATGAAGTTATTCGTATGCTTAAAAACAAGCAAATTCCGTTTGATTGTACCGATAAGGTTTGCTTCCTCTTTTTTTTTACACTGCTAGCAGTTTGTGTAATCTTAGTAACGGCATCTTTTTCATCCGTTGGTCTTGTATTGAACTGTAGAATTTCTTACAGGTTTAAATCATTCACAGGAAATAGAGGAAGAAAGAGGGGGAGGGGTCAGTGGGAAATATTATTTCCTGTGGTTTTTTTTTAGGTGGGACATTGGTCCTAGCAGTTGCCACGGAGTTGCTGTTTTTTGCAGCTTTTTAAATTACTGTTCCCAGAGGCTGCCATAATAGTTTTTGCAGTAGATTCCAGCAAAATGCTGTTATTGGGAGTACCTGGGGGAACAAGGGGACGGGAAAAAAGAACGGAGGGGAAAAATTTTGAAAAATTATTTCTCGTTGACTTTATTTTTCAGAATGGTATGACCCTATTGGATCAGGCATGCTGGGCTGGTGATGGGAAACTGGCGAAGTTTCTGTTATCAAATGGAGCCGATCCAAACAGTAATAAGCACGAATCAGGCTATAGATCATTGATGTTTGCGGCAATTGCTGGCCATCAAGGTTTTTCTTCGAATCTTTTCAACACATTGAGTTTTTACCCGATTTCTCTGATTTATTGCCTGAAAATAATCTCAAATTCAGCTTTTATATTAGTTTTATATTAGAAATGGGTTTTTCCTGATTTTAAAAAAGCACAGAATCGTAATCCGAGGGTTAGCTTTTCCACTTCTTTCCTGTCGTCTTTTTCTTTTCTTTCCTTTTCCACTGAACACTGCGACCATCGTCATGCTGACGAGGTCCTGTCGCACGGTGTTGAGCTAAGACGTATATGACTTAATGGGCTGAAACGTCTTATTTCACTTTTATCTTCTTCCCTTATATACTATTCTTTCATGCTGTAATCTATCGTGCCTTCGCCATCTAGGCCGCTGATGCTTTCCATGAATTACTGACAGCCCTAACGTCTCTCCTGAAGGTATTACTAGCTCAGCAATTCTTTGGACAAAAACAACTGGCAAGGCTTTAGTTGTCGTTTCGAGGTGCATTACCATTCATCCCGATTCTTGGCAATCCTGGATTACGCAGTGTCTAGGGGGCTCATTTCCAATCTGTGATTAGTAATTTCTTTGCACAATCTAAGATTTCAGAAATAATCTTTCAGAGATTTGTCGATTGCTACTTGATCACGGTGCATATGCTCATTCAACAAATTCCATTGGCAAAACAGCGGCAGAAATGGCGGCTTTTGTCGGTTTGTTTTTACTGGATATAATTCCGGTACAGTGGAGAATTGAAGGGAAGAGGGGAGACGGAAGGGAAGAGGGAGAGGGGAGAGAAAGAGGGTACAGTACTATCGGAAACTTCACTGCAGTAATTTATACACTTTATTCGGGTATTTCTTGCCGCAAGAAGCGTAAATGGATCGCAAATAGATGACGGGAGA